CAAGTTTGACCATTAATATCTTTCATTCCTTATTAGTAAAAAAATTAAAAAAATCATATTTTAAAAATTTAGAATGAGAAGAATTTAACAATATTTAAAAAAATAATAATTTATAATACATTAATTAATAAAATGTTGTCAAAGTAAAATATGTGAATAATGCAAAAAGTCCAATGCTGCAATTAAAAGAGAACGAAAGTGATAATATTTTTCATTTTAACTTATATTCAATTGTCGTACTACCGGGGCATGTCCCGGGCTTTACACTAGTTTGATTGAATTTCGATTGTTGGCAATTAGAAAATCTATCCACTCCTTTAAAATCTAGGCATCATCAGTTTTTGATAGATTTTTATGAATTATCTTAAAGGTGAATTCTAAGTTAAAAACACTCCATACATCTTATCTAAATCCGGCCATCCGTGATCAGATTCTTACATAAGACCAATTTCGACTCCTATATTCGGGACTTACATGAGACCAATTTTTTGAAATGACTGAAATTACCGCAATGAATCACTTTAGACATTTTCGTTTACGAAATAACTTTTATTTTAGGAAAAATTCACATTAATAATCTCAATTATCACTCGTCTTCTTATATTAATCCCAAATATTGATAATTCCAATATAATCTAAACTCTAGAGAATGCCTTCCGGTAATAAGCCCGTGACCTGTATGAACTAGTTGAGTAGGTCATCAGACTATGTGGCATACTTTAATTGATCCGGATAACTTTTTCATTTTCTTTTATTTTTGTTTTTACTATTTCCGCTCGCATGTACTGCTTCTTGTTTTCTTCATCCCTATTCCCCTGTCTCCGCTTTTATTTCATCTCTGTATCTCCTCTCATCCTTCACCATGTTTTCCCAAAGCCTACCACTCCCATCCAATTTCAATTTCATTATTGCGGTTTCATCTATAACAAAACCAATTTGACCATTATATCAAATTTTCAGAAGGTTTTCTCAAATCCCTTAAATCTGCTACTTCACCCAAAACCCTTGAATCTTTTCTTCTTCATTCTATCATCAAACCGACGTGGTCTTCAGACCCCAATGAGGATGGTACCGATTCCACCACATCTTGTCGCCGTTGTCGAACTCCTTTGGATTTTCGGAAATCAATTTGTGTATAAAGAAGTAAAAGAGGAATATGAAGTAAAAAGAGAGCCTCAAGCGCAGCGTCTCAAATTTCGATTTGGAGTAACCCCAAAAAATCTTCTGGAGTTGAATCTGAAACACTGAAATAAAAATTTGAGTTTGAGGATGACAAGGGAGGGGTTCAAGTCTTCTACGTGCAATTATTGGGGAAGAAGAAAGTGCAAAGATGCAAAGAAAATAAAGGATGAAAATGACGGAGAACATAAAGTATAGGAAAGAAGAAAGGGTGGAGAACGCATAAAGTATTAAGAGAAATTAGGGGAGAAAATAAAAGCAAAATGAAAAACAAATGAGCTTAGGGATACATGGTCTTCCACTCTTCCTGACACCACATGTTTCTTTCTCTCTTTTTGTATTTCTTATTTTGTTAATTTTTTTACCTGTTTAGCAGGTAGGAGGTCACCTGAGATCAATATGGGAAGACAACAAGTTCGTATTATTTGAGAATAACACATATTTAGGATTAATATAAGAAGACTGGTAATAGTTTGGATTAATCATGTGACATTTATTTTATTTTATTAATAAATATATTTTGAATATAATTTTTCATAATTCAACAAGTTCAGTAAGTTTAACAAGCATTTCATCAATTTCATCATACCTAACCTATTTAGCAGTTAGCACATTTATTACTCCGTATTTAAGAGGCCATTTGGCAATACAGTTTTTTGGCTTATCATGTTTATCAGCCAACTTTTTCACCAAATACGTAATTTTTACTTTCGCGCGCTGAATTGTGTAATAAGCAGAAAAAGTAAGGTTGAAGTTACTTTTCTGGCTGTATAACCTATATTGGCTGAAGTTACTGTAGATGATCATTTTAAGTATTTTTACATATATTTTTTTCTTTATTTTATTAATAGAATATATTTCAATTTTTTTTAGATCAGCAGAATCAACCAATGCAACTACTTCAGCCAGAACTTCATAAATTTCCGCAGAATAAGCCAAAACAGCCGATTTTTGTGCTACCAATCGGAAAGTGTTAGCAAATCTCGAATTGCTTGCATAATGTCGAATTGGATCACTTAGGCTCTATTTGCGATCTTTGTTGATAAGTGTTTTTGACTTTTTTTTAAGAAAAAGAACACTTATTTTACCAAACACTACCAACTTTTACTACTAATCACTTTTTCCCAAAAAGTGCTTTTATTTAAACACAAGTGGTTGCAAACAAAGCCTTAGCATGGGAGTTTTTCCCGGAGAGGAGTGTTTTCAAACTTATTTCCCAAACTAGGGTAGTTCTAAAATTATTTCCCAAATCAGTGTAATTTTTGCCACGTCATCTCATTATCATCGCAGGTCACCACATCAGCTTATCCACGTCATCCCAGTAATTCCACATCATCCAATTTTAAGAGTTTAATAGTTTCTAAAAGACACAAAACATTTCCACATCACCTCATTATCATCGCAGGTCACCACATCAGCTTATCCACGTCATCCTAGTAATTCCAGATGTGTTCTAACTTCTAAGGATCACGGACCACTAATCCACTATGCTACACTCTGCTCTTGTTCTAAGCATGTTATTTTTTGTATTTAAAATTTTAAACCATGTATTCGTAAGTTTGGGAGTGCAGTTCTTCCCAAACAATTAAATAAGACGGAGTATGATAAAAAACTTATTTTGATTTATTCAATTTAAAAATAAAAACCTAATTCAAATTTATAATAAAAAAATATACTCCGTATTTCACAATATTTAATTAGAAAATAAAAAATTAATTCACATTTATAATAAAAAACATAATTTGCAATATGAGATCAATTCTTTTAAATAACTCAAAACGAAATAAAATAAAATATAAGTATATTCAAGCGAGTCCACCTCAATTTTTTAAAAAGCATATTAATAATGTAAAATATTATTTTTATTATATTAGTTTATCAAGTTTTTTCTCTTAAATACTCCCTCCGTTCTTTTTCTATTAGTCCTTCTTTCCTTTTTAGGACGTTTTTTTTATCTGTCTTCCTTTCCATTTAAGGAAAGTTTTTACTCTAAATATACATTTATACCCCAACTTTTATTACCATCACTCATTTCTCTTTCCTACTTTTTCATTTACCCTCTACTCATTACACCTTTTACATACCCCAACTACTTTCCTCTTAAAACCCTTAAAACCCGTGCCAAAGTCTTAGAGGACTAATATTAAAGAACGGAGAGAGTAGATTTTATATGATTTTTTTCACATGAATAATATCCTATTGTAAATTGGGATGGGCTAAAACCTTCCATGACATTTAGTAATTATAGCTTAGTACCTTATGATATTTTTAATTTTTTTTATTTAGGTCTTTATTTTTTAATTATCTCAAACTTAGTACCTTATGATATTTTTTAATTATTTCAAAAATAAGTTATACATAGTATATTTCTAACAAACGAGTAATACACGAATAAATGTATATACATCTGAATTTAAAATCTTTCTATTTCAAATTTCACTAAAAGTTAACATGTAACTACAATTTAGCAAAAATTTGAGCATTTGTATTTGAATTCGAATCAATAATAATTTATGAGAAAAATTTGAACTGAGGTCGAGTCGAAAAGACTTGAGCTGGACTAAGTAATAGCATGAAATTTACTTATAAGTTTAATATTTTTTAATATTTTATTTATTTTTGAGTTATGTCAAATAATTTTTTAATTACATATTTCAAATTAATAGGAGTATTTTTTTTAATTATAAGTTTAAATTACGGTTTTATTTTTTAATTAAATATCACATTTTTTTTTTCATTATAAGTTTTAATTAGAATTTTAGGTTTTAAGGAATATCTCAAATTAAGTACTATCTCCGTCCCAAATTGATTTACAAATTTGACTTTTCATGGTCAAATAGTTTCATTTTATTCGCTTAATTAGGATGTTAATTTTTAATTATATTATAATTGGATTTTACAACTTTGAAGAGATTTTAATGAAGTGCTTGAATATATAAATTTTAAATATTAAAAATTAAATTAATTATCAATACGGAGCATTGACTTTTATTATAGGTTCACTAAAAAAATGTTGATTTTGCAAAACAATTTGGGACAGAAGGAGTATGTTATTATATTTTTATTTGTTTGGAATTTTGGAAAAGGAGGAATGAGTAATACAAGCGCATTCCTCGGCCTAAGAATATACGGAGTATTAGTTATATACTCGTATATTTTAAAGGGCGAGTGTAACAACTAGGTGTTGTAGTGAAGTGGTTTATCTGTGTTAAATTCTCTTTGTACTTAATTCTCTCTGTACACAGAGGAAATTTTTGGAAGTAGCTGGTTTGTTGTGTGTAAATGGTGAATTAATGGATTTGAACGTTGGACATCAATGTCCAGTCCATTGAGCATTGAATCGTCCAGTCTATGTTAAATTCTCTCTTAAAATTGGATGATGTGGAATTGTTGGATGACGTGGATAAGCTGATGTGGCGGCTTGCGATGATAATGAGATGACATGACAAAAAATACCGGAAATAAGTTTAGAACAACCCTAGTTTTGGAAATAAGTTTGAAAAACACGTCTGGGCACAGCTGATGGGCTGAAAACATTGAGAGCCCGTTTGGTAGCACGAAAATCGGCTGTTTTGGCTGATTCTGCTGAAATTTATGAAGTTCTGACTGAAGTGGCTGCATTGGCTGATTCTGGTGATATAAGAAAAAAATATTTTTAAAATATATTTTATTAATAAAATAAAGAAAAAATTATATGTAAAAATAGCTAAAATTGTCATCTACAGTAATTTCAGCCAATACAGCCAGAAAAATAACTCCAACTTTACTTTTCCTGCTTATTACAAAATTCAGCGCGCGAAAACAAAACTTAAGTATTTGGTGAAAAAGGCGTACAAAAAAATTGGGATAAATTGGAATGAGCTGCCGCCGGTCAGGCTCCCTACCCCGCCCCTTTGAAACGTCGGTAAGTTTTTCCCCTCCATGCATAACCGCTACGATCTGATCTGAAGACGCTCTATTTTATTCCCCCTTCAAACTTCCGACACAGTTTCTACTCGTAAGTACCCCGCCGCCGCCAAATCATGCTCCGCAACCTGCGGTCGCGGCGGCGTCCGCGATATGGAGCTCAACTTTGTGCCGTAGCGGCTGCGATTCTCCTTCTTCTCTCTGTCTCCCTTCTCTACACCCGCCTCAATTTCTTCCACTCCAACCAACTGCATTCGTACCCCAGCCACTACGACGCCGTTTCACTCAATCACCCACTTACCGACGACCTAGCTGACTCTGATTTCCGGTCCTCCCCCTCTGATGACCGCATCGACGAGCTCGATGACGCAGTTCAGCTCAACGTGAACGACGAGGAAAATCTAGAGGCGGATGAGGAAGACGGAGAGGAAATTAATCGAAAGTCGAAGGTCTCGTCCAGGACCTACTTCTATGACCATCAACTCGGCGTGATTAGGAGGGCCTTAAACAAGCGGTCAATTGAGGAATGGGAAGATTACGTGAACTTTGAATCTAGCTTCAAATCAGGGTTCGGGTATGAGGTTGATGAATCTAAGTACGCCATTGCATCGGATGATTTGCCAGTAGATGAGAAGATGCGGAAGAAGTTGAGCGAAGTAAGGAACATCGAGGATGCACTTTTATTGAAGGGGTCGCCATTGAGGGAAGGTTGGGGAGACTGGTTTGATAAGAAAAGTGACTTCTTGAGGAGGGATCGCATGTTTAGGTCAAACTTGGAAAGCTTGAACCCAAATAATAATCCGTTGTTGCAGGACCCTGATGGGTCCGGAGTGACTGGATTGACTAGAGGGGATAGGCTTGTGATCAAAGGATTGATGAATGAGTTTAAAAACGTCCCATTCTTGGTTGAAAATACTCCACCTGTCTCAGGGTCAGATAACTCCAGATTAGCAGAAAATGACGTCCTGGGTACCCATAGCAAGGTAAAAGCTGTAGAAGACACTAATTCGAGCATGGAAACCTTGCAATCCTATTCAGAACTATTGAGAATGAAAGGTGATGTTTTGAGTAAGAGAAGTGATATTGAGTTTGGTATGAAGGGGGAAGTGAAATCTTGAGAGCTGAAGAGAGGAGTTTAAAAGACAACAATCACTTACATATTGAAAGAATTGGTGACTATGAAGCACGGAAACTCTCTGCGATTCACGTTTCCCTGTTTCAGAAACAAAGAAGCGTGTTGGAAACTCGGAAACCTCAAACTCCCATTTCGGGGCCGTTTCCGTAATTAAGAAGAATTGGGAAGCCCATTTTCCTAAATAATTAGCGTTCTGGAAGCTTTGGGTTTACATTTTTTTCTTTTAAGAATTTTTTTGATGAAAAATAGTGTCTTTTACCAAATATAGTGAATTTTTAGCAACATTGTGACGTTTCATAACGCAATGCTTTGCTAGAAATGTATTGCATTTTATGTTCAGTGCTAGTCGATTTGTTATCAGTTTTAATGTATTGATAATTAGGTTTTATGTTTTATAGAACCAAATTAATCATATTTTCAGTGCTAGGCGATTTGTTATCAGTATTGATGTTTAAGTGATCTATTACAAGACAGCATAAGCACGGCTATGATTCAGAGTTGCAGACTGTATGGCTTTATCTATAAGAATGCTTCGTTTCAAATTGCTCATTCTATGTACACCATTTTTTATGGTTGAGTGTCATTGCTCTGTAATTTCATGTATTATTGATGTAATGCTTGCTAAAGAAAGATAAATAATAATGGTTTCATTCACTATCCATTGTTCTGCAGCACTTCCATTTATTCTCTGAAAGCAACTTCAGTTATGCAGCATAACATTTTGTGGGTGGACAAGAAGCTCCTAAAACTTCTACTATGTTGGTCTACGTTCTATTTTATACGTTAGGATTGATATTGAATTAGTTTTCCATTATAACCCCTCTAATAACACATATACATGTCCCTTTATTTGGGAGGTGAATGCAAACAGAAGGGACTCTCAGTTAATGAAAAAACTATCAAATATTAAAGATCTGCTAGTCACTCACTTCCATGGCCGGAATGAAACCGCAGTAGGCCTGGAGAAAATCTGTGTTAATGGCAGATTGTCTTCTTCACAGGTTTATGATATACTACGGGCTAAAAGACCGAAAAGGACCTGGATGCCTTTTATTTGGAGGACTTTCATCCCGCCTAAATTTTCATCCATCAAATGGCTGGTTTTCCGGGATAGACTGGCTACACTGGATAACTTGGAGTTTTTGAATTATGAAAACACATGCACTTTCTGCCAGCAGGAATCTGAATCTATTGCCCATCTCTTTTTTGCTTGTTCTTATACTACAGGTATCTGTATGGAGGTTCGCAAATGGTTGGGCATTAGAAGGTAAATGCCAACAATTGCTAGCTCAAATAAATGGATTAAAAGAGAGCACCAGGGAGCACATATCCACAATAAAGCGACCTGTTTTGCGTTTTGTTGTTCCATTTACACAATCTGGAGATTATGAAATGCTGCCTATTTTGATCGCGTCAGGTCCACCCCTCAGGAGGTACTGATAAAAATTAAAGTGGTGGTGTATAGAATACTTTTCAGTTTGTACCCGAGCATTGTCGTTAAGTTCTAATACTTGTCTTGTTTTTTTCTTATTTTGTTTGGTACAGTTGGAGATGTCTTATTTTGAAACTGGAATGTACTGTGCTTAGCTACTGTTTTTGGCTTACAGTAAGGGGCCTGTCCCTTGCTGTTTGGGGTCTGTTTTGGTTGCTATATGTGGGCTAGGTATTATGTTCCGATTGCCCACATTTTGATTTTCTTTTGATCAGGGAGCTACTGTTTTACTCTTGCAGTAAGGAGCCTGTCTCTTGCTGTTTGAGGTCTGTTTTGGTTTCTATATGTGGGCTAGGTATGTTGCTGATTACCCGCAGTTTGATGTCATTTTGTTCAGGGGTATGCCCCGTAGCTTCTGTATATTACATTTTTGAAATGAGTAAACATGTACATTTTACCCGTTATTCTCAACTATGCGGCTGGTACATAAAGTACTCTAGTAGTCACTTAGTATTTGATTTTTTTTTTCGTTTTCCTTGGTAATATTTATAAAAATTCTTATAATTGATGCTTCCATTTGTGTGCATGAAAATTCTGTCCAACTAGTATGAGTGTGTTATTTGTGTGCATGAAAATTATATGTGTGTCTGTAATAGTAATTATATGGGGGTAGCATCATTCTCAACTTCATGTAAGATATAATAAAACTATTATATGGACTGTAATTTGGATGGTTTTTCCTAGCTTTTAAAAATATAACTGTCACTACTTACGCAGGCTCAGAGTCTTCTCTTGCTGTTCAACACAAGGAAGTTGAGAATGATGCTACCCCCTACACAGTTGACTAAAGTAAACGGAAACCGAGTTGGGGAAAATGGTAATGTTGTTGATGATGAGAACCCTACACTGAGTAATAATAGTGGTCTTCTCAATGAGGATGACTTCACGTCTTCTCCAGTGATAGCATATCGAAAGAACTTTTGGGATAGAGATAATGTGATGAATAGTGATACACGTCCCGGGGTAGATACGATGAACAGTGAATTTGAGGTTTGTTTTTCATATGGGAAATCTCTGGATAATGTGTGTACTGATTCACCTAGTAGCAGAAGAGAATGTAAAATGATCTTGTTGATCCTATTCATGTTAGTAGAAAAAATGATGATGCTATGGTTACGGAGAGAGAAAGGGTAGTAAATCTGTCCAACATAAACTTTGAGTCAGGGATAACCAGATTTGCAGCGCATAGCAGAAATTCTCTTCTCAACTGTTGTTTTGTAGAGCTTCATCATATTGATAATCCTTATTCATGCGACCGTAAAAGTGACCTTGGAAAGATCGTAGGAAATGCGAGTAGTCAGCCTAGATTGATTCATGATAGCACGGAAAGTAAGCATCTTAAGAACCATGCTGCCATTTCTGATATCCCATCTGCTCCTTTTGGAAGGCAAGGCAATGATGGATTTATCGGCGATCCTAGACATCCTGTAGGTTGTAACAGAATAGAATATAGTACAGATGCTCTTGTTGATTCAAGAAGTTATCCTTTATATGCTACTGAACGCACTTCATTGTCACCTGGTATCAGAGAGTATGACAGTGCAAGAAAGTGATGGAATGATTTACGGTGATGAGTTTTCACAAATGGATCGGAAGAATAGCTGTGATCAATATGAAACTAGTACAATGTACAATGGGATTTATCACAATATATCGTCTGAGATGTCAGATTCTAGGTACAGACAATTCAGCCAAAAGAGCGTCTCTCTCGGTTGTCTTCTAACAAGTGTTCACTGAAAGAAAGAAAAAACTGGCTATGTCACTAGTCATGATGATCTCCTGGACACTCCTGTTGATGATGTCATGGGCATGCTACAAAGTCAGGTTCTTCTGGTGAAGAGGCAAATGAAATTCAAACTATTGGGAAAACGTCCTGACAGCAGTGAATTCTCTCGCATTGGAGAGCATGCCAATGAACTGAAAAGGAATGTACATCAAACCACCGAACAAAATGTTATTCCGCATGCACCAAAAGAGACACAGGTGGGGGATTTTGGGCGTCAGAGTGATTTAATAAAAAGGTCTCGTGATAGAGATAGTTCTGTAACTTGTTATAGCTCCTAAGCATAGACAACTCAAAAGAGGTTTGATGTCCAAGGAGAACATGCCTTCTGAAATTGAAATTGTAGATAGCTCTGTGGTTAAAGAACTGCCATTTATAGTTCCAAATCATAGACAACTCAAACGAGATTTGATGTCCAAGGAGAGAATCCTTCTGAAGATTTGAGAAGGAACCTGCATGTAAGCCTACGAAATGCAGAAAGCTAGTGAGGACATTTTTGGTAAAGTTGGTGTTTTTTTCCTGGGAAACCACCACAATGATGAGACCTCTAATGACAACCATTATTTGTTAAATCACACCAACACAGTGCCACAAGTCAAGAACCAGAACCAGTCAATGAGCTGCCTTTAAGCGGGCATGAGAACGGTTCAGACGTTCATGACTCAAGAAATAGGGATCCTGATGGTAATGTTACAAATCAAAACAGCGGATTATCCGATGTTCTTCCTCCAACTGTCCCTAAGAACAAGGATTCTAACATGAAAGAAAGATCTGAATGTGAAAATGACGGTTCTGAAATGCACGACTTCTCATCCATGGAACCCAATGAAAAATATCAGGGTAAATTGTCTCAAAGTGAACCCCTGGAAACTCCAGTGTACCATTGGTATCTCGTGTCCTGAAGCAGGAGATGATGGTACATCTGAAGCTACCAAGGTTGGGAGTGATGTTATATGTCTACGATCTTCAAGGTGTTGAAAAAAAAAGCAACCCTCCCAGTCCTACTTGCAAGTTAAAATGCGAAAAGGTGGCATATGGAATGACGTTACAACTAAAATTATGCTAGCGGGTGTCTGCAGAAAGTTAATTGGATTTGTTTTGTACCATATGGGTGGTGGTCTATAGATTGCCATGTCCTGCCTGGTATAGTGGTATAACACATTTTTTTGTATGAAGATCAGCTGTCTGAAGTCCCAAATGTTTTGCTTCTATTTTTGTGCCCCCTCCCAAGGCAATAAACACTACATGATTTGGGTCCATATGAGATATATTATGAAGATGACTCTGTCTCGTGTTGAGAGATTTGGGTCCATAGTAGATTGCTGACACTAGTGTCCATCTGTTTTTTTTTATTTGCATGATACTACCTCCGTCCCAATGGACTTTGCATTGAGTTAAGTGAGAAATAAGAATATTAAAAATTATGTGGTTGAAGATTGTACAGAGGAGAGAGAAATTAATAGAACCACAAAATAGTTACTTTAATGAGAAAGTCACAAAGTTTTTTGGGACAATCAAAAAAGGAAATTTGGCAAAGTCTAATGGGACGGATGAAGTACTCCCTCCGTCCCATATTTATCTTCACAAGTACATTTGCACACATATTAAGATAGTGGGAAATGTGTGGTGGAGAGTTGTGCAGAGGAGAGAGAAATGTGTAAGAATGTGTAAGAATGGTTGTGAACCACAAATTCTTTGCCAAAAAGGGAAAGAGGAGATAAATTGGGGACGGATGAAAAAGGAAAGTATGAAGATAATTCCGGGACAGAGGGAGTATATATTAAAGCTACCTTGAGCTGCATAAGTATGATCAGTAGATATTGAACATGTCTGGTTTCATACAGTTTGGCTGGTTCTCTTTTACAGTTTTACGGAATCCTCTTCTTTTGCATATAAGTAATACTCCGTATAAGCAAAATAATGTTGATGTTAAACATAGTGGAATAATCTGGTGGTGCTTCAACGAATCCTTTTCTGTAACCCGAGTGGGTTGATGTGATTACATAATGCAATGTCAAAATGTCATTAGGTAGCTTGCAAAACGACTATGTACTACGGAGTAATTGATTATTTTTTTTGAAACAAAGTAATTGATTTTATTTAGTATGAAGTATTATAAGCAATAATATTCAATGGACAATTTACTTCAAATGCACTCTATATTATGCATGTATTTATTAGAAAACTTGAATAATCAATGATTTTTTTTCAAAAATATTACTGAAATGAAACTTATATACAAAAGTATAACTAATACTCCGTGGTTACGTAGTCTCATAATCATTTAGGTGTAAAATTTGAATGTAAACTACTTGACTTAAGTTACAATTATACTCCAGTCATTACACTTAAGATGACACATTTTTGTAAACAACTTTTATTTTAGTTACATATATAATTATTTCATTTATTTCCATCATTTGCAATGGATCCTAAGACTCACTATTTTTTGACTTGAGAATATGATGAAATAAAGCAAAATGACTCAATAAACTGTCCGCACTTTTTTATTATGAAGCAGCAGACAATCCATGCAGTTTTCGACGCAATTTTCACTATGCGTCATCCGAAAACAGTCTCTTGTGCTTTAGTTCAGGGATAAGATTGCGTACATCCGCCCCCCATTACCCCACCGTAGGTGGGAGCCTTTGCGGGACTGGGGTAATGATGATGATGATATAATTATTTCATTTGTTGATTTATTTTAATTATATTATGGAGTATATTATCATTATAAATAAAGTTTATAATATAACGTGAGTTTTAGGGAGTGTTTGCATTTGATTAAAAAAAGTGCTTTTCAGCTTTTGGCTTAAAAAAAGTTAAAAAGAGTGTTTTCAAATGACAACTTCTGCTTAAATTAATCACTTAAAAGCTAAAAGCTGGAAGCAGGTGGAAGGGTGCTTTAAACTGCTTTTCACTTTTTCTATTACACAAAAAGTACTTCTTTTACCAAACACTACCAACTTTTACTTTTTCAGAATCACTTTTTCTTCAAACACTACCAACTTTTACTATTAATCACTTTTCTCAAAATCACTTTAAAAAATCACTTCTTTAAAGTTGAAGCAATTGCAAACACTCCCTTAATGTACTCCGTATTGTCTTTCGGGGAATCCGGGAATCGAGGCCCGAGGAAAAACTGCATTCTCGTCAACTTCATTACTTGTTGCACTCTCATTGTAGAAATACCATGCACCTTATCTTCCATGGATTCCAATCTCAAGTGTGACTGTGTTTGCATCGGAGAAATGGGATCAAGAATAGCAGAATAAGAACAGAGAAAACGACAGTACTTTTCATTTCATCAATCATTAAAAGACAAACTATAAATCCATATTACTACAAATATTTCTATTTTTTTTTTTTTTTTGGATGAAACTACAAATATTTCTAGAGACAATTTCCTGAATACAGAACTACAGAAGGGACAAAATGGAAAATAATGTAAAGTAGACCGCCAGCTCTCAAATGCCATCTATCTGCATTAAGAATCAGCCTCCATATGTTCTCTGTCATTTTAGGTTGATTTCACTCAGGCAATTGCACTTCAGTCCTTGAACTTCCCTTACTTATAGCCTCAGCTGGCGTCATGACAGCTCGTCAGTAAAATTGATTGTCATTATTATCTTCACCAAGTAGGCGCAGAATTACATAATGATCTTTTTACCTTAGTAGCTACCGCTAGAGAGCCTCATTGCTAACACTAAAGCTTGTATTTTATTCAAAGGTCACACAAGAAAGAGTCAGTTGTCGGAGTCAGTAAAACTTGGGCTACCAAAATCACCGGAGTGTGCTGAAGCAAAAGATTCGTAACTGTCCAATGATGAAAGGGAAGAAGGTGAGCCAGAGTCATCCATGAGAAACTCATCATGCATGATATGTTCGTCATCATAGATCTCAGATGCCTCTGATCCAGACCCACCCAAAAGAAGCTTATTTATTGCTCCTTTTGCTGTTTCTACAAACCACTCATCCTCTGGAAGAGCACTGCCAATCAATCAAAGAACAAAACTTTTTAGTTGTAGGGAGGGAAAGAGGGAACTAGAAGACTGTGCACAATGCAAACCTACCTTTGTACAATCCCCCGAACAGAAAATGTCCTGATTGCACGAGACATTATATCAGATGCTATTTGATGCACTATCCTGGAAGGGTAACCAGCAAACCGTGCTATCTCTACGGTGAAGTGCATATCCAGCATTATCTGCCAAACAACAAGTTGAGTGGCCTGGTTAGAGATTGGAATCAATGGATAATGAGATTGTGCCATTCAATCGAAAAAAACAGCATGTTTTGGTCCTGGACAAGTAAAGAATGATGCAATGTGATTTAATTTAAAGGCTTCACATATCTTGTCTGGTATTAGTATATTACTGATTTTTCATTCTCTTTTCAAAAGTTATAGAGCATCTAAGTTAAGGATGATGTCCCTTACAAGTTCTATCTATAGAATGCTTCTTATCTCACAAGTCTCTTGTTTAATTAGCAAATAGCAACCATCAATACGAAACTACCCACTTATCAATGCTTGACTTCATCATCACCACAAGAAACTAAATATGCACTGGAGGTAAACATAGAAAAGTTTTTTTTAACAAAAAATGTTTCTTTGCAAAGAACTAATAAAGCATTGCCTCCTGCTTATCTGTATCATTAATAGTTTGGTTACAATTGATATCAGGTCTAACCGTCTAATATGATAGGTTAACCAAATCAGGCCAGTTTCAGTATTGCAAATACCTGCTGCAATCCATGTTGTGTAAGAGGAGCAGAACTATCCTCCAGAACACTCCAAAATTCTTGCTCATCATACAGCCACATGACCACAGTCTCAATCAGCCTGGCAAGCAAAACCTTCTGTATTTTCTCCCTCCCAATTAGTACGTCACCAGCCACGGTTGCTAACTGCTGCAGCTTACCAAATAGAGCCTAAAAGGCCCATGAAGGTGTTACTTTTAAATGATAAATAGGAGTGACAGTTAAGAAAGCAAAGATGAGTTCTGGAACACAAGGAAACTAGTGTTTAAATAACTTTAAAATCAATCTCGTCACCTCTTAAACAATTGATTTTATGAAGTCCACAGATAAAGGGGGAAAAAACTGTACATCTTCAATTGACTGACAGTCTGATATGAATCAAGTTACAACATGTTCAAGAATTTCACCCCTCCTAGTCTCCTACCCAAGTAAAGAGAGTCCGAACAATACAAAAGTAAGGGAGTTCATGAATACTACTACCTCCGTCCCTTAAAACTTTGCCAAGTTTGACTAGCATGGGGATTAATAAAGTAAAAACTGTGTGGTTGAGGTTTATGCAGAGGAGAGAGAATTAACTACAACCACAAATTCTTTACTTTAAAGGGAAAGTGGCAAAGTTAGAGGGACATCCAAAAAAGGAAAGTTGGCAAAGTTTTAAGTGATAGAGGGAGTATTATTAGGTGCAGATTGCAGAAGGATGTTTTATGGGAAAATGTACACAATCTCATCTCATTCAAGGTCTTTGAGAACTTGAAGAAGGGTAAGGTTTCATAGCTGTTTGTTGGTAGTCTTGTGGCTGGAAAAAAATATCAAGTTCCCTTCTTGTTGCAACACCACCACCGCCCGATATCCACAGCTTGATTCACACTACCACAAACAATTTTGTAAAATTTGGCAGTTGCAAAACTGGTGTTGATGATAGAGACCCTTTTGAGATGCATGGAGGCGGCCTTGGCTTCTGGATTCCACTAGAAAGAGATCCATAGTCGGGAGGTCATGCTTCGGTAGTTCTGAATGAATTTCCAATAGTACCCCCATTGAAGGGGAGCCTTGGAGCACCGACGAGGGTGTCACTGTGTGACCGAGAGGTCACAGGTTCAGTCTTGGGAACGCCTCTAGTCAAAATGATAAGGGAAGGCTTGCTCCTTATACACCCCTGTGGTAGACCTTTCACCGAAACCCTCGCCTCGCGGAGACGCCTATGTGCATCAAGGCTGCCCTTTTTTATCCCGTGAAACCGAGGAATCCCCGGAGAACCATGATCAAACTTGGGTTAAGCCATTGCAGAATTGCTTGGGTCTTGGTTTGGTCAATTTCTACCATGGCACTATGAATGACAATGCCCGAATAAACTACTCGTTGTGCACCAAAACTGCATTTGGAGTGCTTCAAACTAAAAACGTGAACAACACCAACATCCAAGCCTTATTCCCAAAAAAATTTGGGATGGGCTAACATGAATCGGTCCATGATATCAAACCCAAAAAGAGAAAAATGATATAAA